TATAATAATTTTTGTTCTTGAGCTGATTAAATTTTTGTGGGGCTGTCTACACTTTTTTTGAAGGTAAGGGTAAGAGTGTCGATGGGATCCTTGCTTGATAGTCATTGCCAATCATAATGTACTATAAATAGAACAATATACAATAAATAGAACAATATACTACAAATAGAGCGATTCTATAAATAGAACAACATACTATAAATAGAACAATATACTATAAATAGAACAATATACTACAAATAGAGCGAAATACTATAAATAGCACATGTAAATGTATAAATAGAATAATGTATTATTGCATAAAATTTCAAGCTGATTGTACTTGAAATTCCTAGAACTTTTTGACGTTAATGCTTTTCAAAATTGTGGATACGTATTCAAAATTTTACTAACTTTCTTCCAGTCGTTTGACACGTAATACTCCTCATCACTGTCATCATTTGATGAGTCATCGTTACCACCAGAATTAGCATCACTAGCTAGCCACACCTCTGAAAAAGGAGAAAAAACAAATTAAAAAAATATTAGTAAAACAATTGTGAATTTCTTAAAATCTACTTTTATTTGTTTTTGTTTTGCTCTATGCATTTAGTGTTGTAAAGATATCCCTCACTTTGGAATTAAAATAATTAATAAAAATTAATGTTATGATGATAAATAATAATAATAATATATGATTATTGACAAAACTTACTAAATGCATTATCAACAGCGCTACTGTTAGCCCCGCCCCCTGCCCCGCCCATCCTTATACTCCTACGCTCAGGAACCGGTCTGAGTCTAGCCAGCGCCTCTGGATTAGCTCCAGGACGAAACCACGGGCTCTTAGAACCGGACTGACTGGAAACAGAATCAAGTTTATCCTCCGATGAGGCCGGGGGGACATCCCCTTCATCCTCTTCTCCCGACATGCCCGGTTCCTCTTGTTGCTGTGGCAACGGTTCGAAATTCGGCCTAACGGGCGTTGGGACTTCAGGAGGTACATGAATTAGTTTTGGGGGGTGTGGTTTAGGGTCAGTAGAGGCCACACCCTCCTCGTTAACTTTGATTACTAATTGAGGTTTGTTGGTTTGTTGAGGTTCTGCGGTGGACTGAGGGAGAGAGGGAGAGCGAGGGTAGCCATAACTAGCCAAGACTTCTTCTAATGGTAGTT